AACTGACACAAACAACAACAAAGAGATTTCAAAGAAGAAAGTTTCCATTTCAGCAACAGTTTCTTCAAAGAATAAAGGAAACTTTTCCCTGCTAATTACTGGAGAGAGTCACATGAGTGATTGTGCTAGGAACAGCAATCTACTTAAACAAAAAATACTTATAATTGGTGATAGTCATGTTAGAGGGTTGGCGGCTAACATTAACAGCAACCTCAATGACACTTTTTATGCAATGGGTAGCATTAAACCAAATGCCAATATCGAGACGATAACATCTTCCTTACACACTTCTATAGAATATTTTTCAAAAAAAGATGTAATTATATTTTTTGGTGGCACTAAAGACATAAGTAAGAATGAGTCAAAAAAGGGACTTCTATCACTAAAGGCTTTTCTTCAAAGAACTAACAACACAAATGTAATCTTGCTTAGAGCGCCATTAAGATATGATTTGTCTCCTGATTCTTGTGTTAATTTAGAAGTAAATCTCTTTAATAAGAGGTTACAATCCCTTGCACACAATTTTGCTCATGTAAGCCTTGTAAATGCATGTACTGAAAGATTCCATCATACATGGCCTGCGTTTAAATAATCAAGGGAAAGACTGGATCTCGCTTCTTCTTGTGAAAGAGATTAATACCATGTCTGGTCTAAAAGCAACTTCCTCACCCTTAGCCTTACCATGGAAAGATCACAAGATAAATTCATTTCAATGGGCTCAGGGTAATAAAGGCAAAGTTCAAGTTTTACAGGCACACGGTCAAGAGTATAAAGTGGACAAAATAAATATGGAAATTATGAAGTCACAACAGGAAGACAAAGGAGGGGGAAAGGAAGAAGATAGGGAAAGTGAAGACCTGAGTGAGGGTGAACAGACAATGAGGACATATGAAGATGTTGTAGGTGGGGAGGGCTCTAAGAAACAACAAATGTCAGCAGTAAGATGTAAAGAAGCAGTGAGCGTTAACTCAAATAAATGTAAAATAGGGAATAATATAATAGATACGAATAGCAAAGATAAAGAGATACCAAGTACAGTTAACAACTATAAGGATCATCAAGGTCCAATGCCTGACCAGGAACCTCTTCACTGTATCCAAAGAAAAAGAAGACCACCAACTAGAAATGAGGATTTCTTATGGGAGGGTTAAGGTATGAACCAACTATAAATAAGTATCTGGCTTTAGCTCACAATTTCCCTACAAGAGGAGATAAAAATTGTGGCAAAAATCATAATGGACAGGCTGCTAACTCAAATACTACCAACTCAAATCAAGGGAAAACTAATCAATCTACATCTCATTTTCTGAAGGTATGTCATCAGAATATAAGAGGCTTATTTGATAAAACCGAACGACTGTTAAATTCCTTCTTACCTGACCCGCCTCATATAATATGTTTTACTGAACACCATTTAAAAGAATATGAAATAAATAAAATATGTGTAGATAATTATGTATTAGGGGCCAATTATTGTAGATCAACATACAAAGATGGGGGTGTATGTATATATATTCATAACTCAATTAAATTTGATTCTGTATCTGTGTCTAACTACTGTGTGGAAAGGGACATCGAAGCCTGTGCAATCAAATTAAACCTGACTAGTATCACGTTGATCATATTAGCTATTTATAGGTCACCTACTGGAAACTTCAACAATTTTTTGCACAAATTGGATGCCATCTTGAATAAGCTACATAATAATAAAGTCGAATATGTTATATGTGGTGATGTAAATATAAATTATTTAGAAAATTGTGATAGAAGGCAACAA